CCTGTAACACAGCTGTTATCTGCCGCCTCTCACTGTATGGGAAGGTTAGGAAAATGGATAACGCAGGCTACAAAAGACCAAAAGGGGCAAACACTTTATCAAAGAGCCAAAAATATTGGGCCAATGGATCAGATGAGAAGTAGTGATATATGGGAAAAACATTTGCCAATGATCTACAATGACAAAGTGAAGATAGAACCAGAGATTAGAGGAGATTTTTAGTGGAACGATTCAAGTTCACCTTTAAAATAAATAATAAATGCACATTTCTGCAGGTAAACAAAATCTACTAAATTAAATTCATCCATGCAATGGGAGAACACGCAAACTCTGTGCCGATTGTGTCCTGGATGGGATTCCAATCGTGGACCCCAGGAGTACTAAACACTAAAGGTGATATTTAAGTGTAAGTTCACCTTTATAGAAAATCTGGAAGGTGACCTTACACTGGATCCCCATCCCCCCGGTCCCGCTGTACAGTAGTCAAGGGATCTGGGAATGTGACATTACCAGTGCTTAATCTCCTATCTGTACCTATCAGCGTGTACGAACAAGAGGCATTCTAATTGGTCAGCACTGTCACAGAGACAGCGTTGACCAATCAGAATCCATCTAGTCCGCTCTGTCAGTGCTGCGAGGAGTGGAGAGAAAGCCAGGATTTCAAATCCCTGGACCAGTGAAGAAACATTCTGGTCCATGACAGAGCAGGATTAATACAGCAGGAACAGGGGGAATGGGGAGCGGGTCCAGTGTAAGGTCACCATACAGATTTTCTGTAAAGGTGAACTTACACTTCAACGGCAAATTTTTTTTTTTTTTTTTAATAAACTATGTCTATACTTACCAGCTCTGTGCAGTGGTTTTGCACATAGCAGCCCGGATCCTCCTGCTCTTGGGTCCCCGCCAACAATCCTGTCCCCTCCCTCCTGCCAAGTGCTCCCAGAACAAGAGTGTGAAGCATTATGGGTGGAACTGCACATGGGGGTGCATACTACAAAGGTAATCAGGCCTCCTAGTGTTAATGAGGAGGTGGAGACTCAGCTCCTTGCACAGATCAAAAGGGCTGCAAGGGATGGGACAGTGATAATAATGGGGGATTTTAACTACCTGGAAATTGACTGGAGTAATGGTACTGCAGAAACAGTTAAAAGGCAAAATTTTTTAAACCTACTACAGGATAATTTTATGGTACAGTTGATAGAGGCCCCAACTAGGAATAATGCTCTGCTGGACCTGGCAATTTCAAACCTTGCAGAGCTTTTGAATGTCCATATAAAAGAACATATGGGTAGTGACCATAACATGATTTCATTTATTGTTAGCTGTAAACAGCAATCACATAAGGGAAAAATAAAAACGCTCAATTTTAGGAGAGCTAATTTTCCAAGGCTGAGAGCTGCTCTCCAAGACTTAGACTGGGAGGGAATATTGGCATTGATGAACACAACACAGAAATGGGAGCTCTTCAAAAAGACTGTATGTGAACACACTGCAAAATATACTCCCACGGGCAACACGTTTAAAAGGTTAAAAATCTAAACCTATGTGGCTTACGGCTAAAGTTAAAAAAAACCTATAGATAATAAGAAAAGAGCTTTTACTAAATATAAAAATGAAGGAACGCTATCATTGTTTAAACATTACAGAGAATATAACAGAATATGCAAAAAGGAAATAAAGGCTGCAAAAACTGAAAATGAACGACAGATTGCAAAAGGTAGCAGGACAATCCCCCAAAAAATTCTTCAAATGTAATAAACGTAAAAAGGTCCGGTCCGAGCATGTAGGCCCTTTACGAAATAATCTAGAGTGGGTGACTGGGGACAAAGAGAAGGCAAATTTATTAAATACCTTCTTTAGCTCTGTGTATACAAAGGAGCATGGCGGAGCTCTTGTCCATAATGGGGATGGTATTGACACAGCTCCAGATGATCCACATTGGCTCACAATTGATATGATCCAAAAATATTTAGACAGAATAAAGGTGAATAAAGCCCCTGGACTGGATGGCATACACCCACGGGTCCTTAAAGATTGAGATCAGTAATTTCAAAGCCATTGTTTCTAATTTTTAGGGACTCTTTAATAACTGGCATAGTACCACTGGATTGGTGTAAAGGCCAATGTGGTGCCAATATTTCAAAAGTAATTATAGACCTGTTAGTTTAACTTCTATACTTGGGACGATACTGGAGAGTTTAATAAAAGGCCACATAGATGAGTTCTTGCTGGAAAAAAATATTTTAAGCAACAGACAGCATGGATTCATGAAAGACAGAAGTTTTCAAACAAATCTGATTCGTTTTTATGAGGGGGTGAGCAAAACCTTGGACAGAGGGGTGGCGGTGGACGTGGTAGACTTGGACAGAGGGGTGGTGGTGGACGTTGTATGCTTGGACAGAGGGGTGGCGGTGGACGTGGTAGACTTGGACAGAGGGGTAGCGGTGGACGTGGTAGACTTGGACAGAGGGTGGTGGTTGGACATGGTATACTTGGACAGAGGGGTAGCGGTGGACGTGGTATACTTGGATTTTTGCAAAAGTGTTTGACACAGTTCCCCACACACAGTTGTGTAAGGTGAAGTCTATGGGCTTGGAAAAATCTGTATGTAAATGGATAGAAAACTGGCTAAAAGATCGTATTCAGAGAGTAGTTAATGATTCATACTCTGAATGGTCTAGGGTTGTCAGTGGTGTACCCCAAGGTTCAGTGTTGGGACCCTTACTTTTTAATATATTTATAAACAATATAGGGTCTGGGATTATAAATCCCATTTCAGTCTTTGCAGATGACACCAAGCTGTGCAGTGGAATAACGTCCTTACAGGATGTCTCCAATTTACAAGCCGACCTCAATGCTCTGTGTAATTGGGGGACTATGTGGCAAATGAGGTTTAATGTTGATAAATGTAAGGTTCTGCACTTGGGGGCTAAGAATATGCATGCATCATACATACGGGGGGGGGGGGGGGGGGGTACAACTGGGGGAATCAATGGTGGAGAAGGATCTGGGGGTTCTGGTAGATCACAAGCTTAATAATAGCATGCAATGCCAAGCTGCGGTTTCTAAAGCGAGCAAAATCCTCTCTTGTATTAAAAGAGGTATAGACTCCAGAGAGAGAGATATCATATTACCCCGGTACAAATCATTAGTAAGACCTCATCTGGAATATGCAATTCAGTTTTAGGCACCAATTCACAAAAAGAACATTGGGGAACTGGAGAAAGTACAGAGAAGGGCAACCAAACTGATAAGAGGCATGGAGGAGCTCAGCTATGAGGAAAGATTAGAGGAACTGAATTTATTCTCTATGAGAAGAGGAGATTAAGGGGGGATATGATCTCCATGTATAATACATAAGGGGGATATGATCACCATGTATAATAATAAAGGGGATATGATCTCCATGTATAATACATAAGGGGGGATATGATCTCCATGTATAATACATAAGGGGGGATATGATCACCATGTATAATACATAAGGGGGGGATATGATCTCCATGTATAAAATACATAAGGGGGGATATGATCTCCATGTATAATACATAAGGGGGGATATGTTCTCCATGTATAATACATAAGGGGGATATGATCTCCATGTATAATACATAAGGGGGGATATGATCTCCATGTTTAATACATAAGGGGGATATGATATCCATGTAAAAATACATCAGTGGTTCATATAGTGAACTCGGTGTAGAGTTATTCACCCTGAGGTCATCACAGAGGACAAGGGGGCACTCTTTACATCTGGAGGAAAAGAAATGTAATCTCCAAACATGGAAAGGTTTCTTCACAGTGAGAGCTGTGAAAATCTAGAATAGACTCCATCAAGAGTTGGTTCTGGTCAGCTCAGTGGATTGCTGTAGGGAAGTCCTGGATTCTTTCTTAGATACATAGAATTAAATGGATAGTAACATGTATAGTTAATGTTGATCCAGGGAATATCCGATTGCCTCTCAGGGGATCAGGAAGGAATTTTTTTCCCCTGCAGGAGCAAATTGGATCATGCTTTGCTGGGTCTTTTTGCCTTCCTCTGGATCAACTGTGGGTATAGGATTATAACATTTTTTTGTTTTAAATGGTTGAACTGGATGGACTTTTGTCTTTTTTCAGCCAGACTAACTATGTGACTATGTAACAAACAGCTTGCTATAGGAGCACCCAAGCACGCTCACTCCTGAGTCGCACACAGAGCCGTAGCTTGGCCCCGCCCCCTTTCTCTTCATTGGCTCACTGGCTGTGACTGACAGCAGCGGGAGCCATTGAGGATGGAGAGTCCCTGGAGAGCCGAGGCTTGCATGCACATCGCTGGATTGCAATGGGGGGTTCAGGTAAGTATTAGAGAAGGATGGGAGGGCTGCTGCACACAGAAGGTTTTTTACCTTCATGCATAGAATACATCAAGGTAAAAAAAACTTTGAGCCTTTAGACCCACTTTAAGTCACTGTGCTGCCTATTTTCCCTGCAATGCTTTTTCTGTCACTAGATAACCTCCGAATGATGGTGAGCATCATTCAACCCACTTCCTCAGACCGCAGGTCATCCTGGACTTGTCCCAGCCGTAATTGGACAGTGAAAGCGACACAATAATGAGCTCATCTCTCTGTCATTCTGCTCTCTCCTCCTGTCAGTATGCTTCTTGTCAGCGCAGGAACTAAATGGCTCCTTCTTCCTCTGCTGTACAGATTGCACGAGGCTGATACCAGGTCTCATTCAGGTACTTACACTGCTTACATTTAAAAAATATATTTAGTGATGTATTAATGACTAAAGAGATTTATTTTTATTATGTGTCTTTTATGCAAGTTCAATTTTAAATGCACTGCAAGATGTACTTAGTGAAAGAAAAAAGGTTTCAAATTTGCAAGAAAGAGGTGTATAGACCAGAGATAACCATTCTACTTCCTAGCAGCTGCAGAAGAACTACATGTGGTGAATGTGAAGTCTTACCATCAAGGAAATACACTGATCTCCAGCCCAAATGGACTCACCTTCATGGTATTTGCCAGGTCTGTCTGGTAGTAGCGGTCGTGATGGGCGTTTGCAGCGGCCAGGGTGAGGAGATAGTCATTGCGGGAATGAGTGGCCTTCGCATTACACTCTTGTCTCCGAGCTTTTAACTGAAAAGAGAACAGAAAAAAGTTACTGGCATTGGTAAAGGTGTGCGGTATTACAGCATATATGTACAGGGGGTCTATAAAACTTGCGTAGGTAAAGAAAACACCTTTTTCGTATCAGTTGGGTTCGGAAACCCATTATGCTTTTTATTGCTGTCTGTGTCCCCGCTAAGTAGAGTCACCCCTCTATTTAGTGACCACTGTCACTAAGAAGGAATGTGATGGGAAAACAGTTGTCACCAGAGCAAGAGGCAATGGGAAATCTTCCAATGGGGACATCTGTTCCAGTGACAACTAAGATGGGGATTCTCTCACTTTGGAGACTTCCTTCCATTTCCTGTTCTGTCTACAGGACAAAGACTGTCCCCAATGGGACTAAGACAGCAAGAAAAAAAAAAAAAAAATGGCGCCTGGCCAAGAAGTATTGTACTAGGGGTGGGCAGAGCCTGATGGGAAATGAAAAGCAGTTTTCCATCAAATATGCTTCGACTGACTGTGCACAGCAATAGGCAGATCCATACATGCTATTCAGCCCATTAGGAGCCTTTGAATCCGCCCACTGCCACGCGCTGTCAATCAAAGGTTAAGTGGACCTGAAGGGAAACTAGGCCTACCTATTTCCCATCAGGCTCCACCCACCCAGTAACAGGTCTTTTTTGTTTTTTTTCCTTAGGTAATGACATCACCACTATCGCTGACTTCTTTGTTCACATTTAGCTTTTGACCAGGGATTCTCCCGGCTGACAGGTTAATGGGGTCGGGGATACAGCACTGTGCAGGAAGCTGTCACACTAATGGCAGCTTCTCAACAAAGATATTCCCCATTCTGAGCACTGACAGACCTCAGTATGCCAGCTCAGAGCTGTTCTCATCCTCTTGTCGCCAATGTAACACATACATGGGCTTTAACGCCAACACCCTGCAGATGTGTCTCCATGGACGGCTGAGGCTTCTCAGCTGAGAGCATGCTCAATGTGTTCTCCTAGCACAGTGACTGAGCTGTCCCAGACTGCTCTCAAGATCTTGTCATGATCAGGAGCCAGGGAACATCAGGAGTTCCTGATCATGAGACCACTGTAATAGCTAAATCAGAGGGGATCAAGTGTCAGAGCAGCTCAGTTTACATTCTGACACAGCGCCTGTGTACTGGGATCACTGCACTCCTGCACATGTGCAGGATTGACGTCATCCCGCACTGGCCAATGAAGATGATCACAGTCTGCACCAGTAAGCAGCCAGCGCTGGCGAGGGCCATCAAACCACTGAAGGATAGGCAAGTATCACTAAGTTTAGCTCCACATTAATGGGCCGGTAGTAAGAACTAACCGAATTCACTGTACATGTCAGTATTGTTATAGACGTTGGTATAAAAACTTGCCTGAATCAGGCACAGGTAGGTCTTAAAGTATGAGAATCCAAAAAACAAACCTCCATACTCACCTCCCTGCTGCAGCATCAGTCCTATGCTGCAATTGTCTACTGCTGGCTCTAAGCCCGAGAACTAAGCGATCACATGACTGCTAATCACTCAGTTCTATACTAGTAATGGGGGTGATCAGTGAACTATAAAGTACGGTAATCTAACACTAGCTAACCCTGGCTGACCCAATAAAACTGTGGAAGACGGCAGGAAGGGGGGTTGTCCCTTTCCGCTGCTTGTAAAAACAATTCAGCAGCTAATTGACCACTAGGATTACTTTTACATGAAAGCCGACCACCAGCTGAAAAACACGATACCAGGATGATGTCTGTATAACCACTAGTATAGTTCTGTTCATGATCATTATATTGATCCGTACAAACACTATACTAGTAATGGGGCTGATCAGCGATCTATAGAGTGAGTATAGCAGTATTCGGGCAATCTAACGCTAGTTGCCCAGAGATGCTGCTCGCCCCAAAAATGCGGGTATGCGGTTGGCAAGTAGTTAAAAAAAAAAAAAAAAAAAAAACCCTCGCCCCCAAAATGCGGGTATGTGGTCGGCAAGTAGTTTTAAAAAAAAAAAAAAAACACCCTTAAAATTATCTTCTTTTTAAATTTTCAATACAGTATTTTTTTTTTTACTTTTTTTGTAATACTTTTATCAGAATAGTACGTTACCATAGTAACATTGTACTACTGTGGGGGGGAAATCAGAGATTTTTTTTTTTTTGTACACTTTGCTTTGCAGGAGAAATAAAGATAATTTCTCCCGCAATGCAAAGCTTGCTGTCATAAACTAACTTATTCATGAACTGTCATGAATGAATTAGGTTTTTGAGAGCTCAAGATAGTGATCTGTGATTAGCTGGAGCTGGTCACATGGTACAGGGTGCTGTGATTGGCCCCATGTATTATGACAGCTGTGGGCCAATCACAGCTCACTTGGAAGAGAAGCAGAGCTGATATGAATTAGATTGATTCATAACAGCTTTGCTTACATTGTGATCATGTGATCGCACAGTGATCACATGATCACCGAGTCCCATTCAACGGGATCTTCATTCCGCTGGACACAGCAGGCGCGGGTGGGGAGTGCTGCATGCCTGCCTGGGTGCATAGCGCCGCTCTGTGTTAGTACAGCTAACCCGTAGCTGCCCCCCTGCTGCAGTACATTGCGGGCGGGAAGTGGTTAAACACTGCAGAAAAATGCAAAAAAAGAACCTGTGGTGCAAAAATAGCCAGATAAAATGTACCTTTCCCCAACTTTAGTGCAGGAGGTGTCATACTCCTTCCTGAGATATCTGTTGAGTAGCCCAAACCTTGTGAGAAGAGGCCGCAGAAAGATCGCATTCTGGTGAGATTTGGGCTACCCAACATTTTCTGAGATCTCCCAATGGCGCCTCTCGGATTTCACCCTCATTTATGTACCACAGGTACCTAAAGTTGTGTTCAAAATAATAGCAGTCAGACATCACTAACCTGATCATTCACTGTTTTTGGTAGAAATTATATTTCTACATGGCAAATAATTTACTAGCAAGTGTAGTAGAATAGAAATCCAACACACATCAGCTCCAGGAAGATGAAAGAAGGTGTAAAGTTCCCTGTGAGGACTGTTACAATTAGAAGACGCCTATGTGAAGCCAAGCTATCTGCAAGAAGCCCCCGCAAAGTCCCACTGTTGGAAAAAAGACGTGCTGAAGAGATAACAATTTGCCAAAGAGCACATTGACTGGCCTAAAGAGAAATGGCGCAACATTTTGTGGACTGATGAAAGTAAGATTGTTCTTTTTGGGTCTAGTGGCCGGAGACAGTTTGTCAGATGACCCCCAAACACTGAATTCAAGCCACAGTACACTGTGAAGACAGTGAAGCATGGTGGTGCAAGCATCATGATATGGGGATGTTTCTCATACTACGGTGTTGGGCCTATTTATCGCATACCAGGGATCATGGATCAGTTTGAATACATCAGAATACTTGAAGAGGTCATGCTGCCTTATGCTGAAGAGGAAATGCCCTTGAAATGGGTGTTCCAACAAGACAACAACCCCAAACACACCAGTAAACGTGCAACATCTTGGTTCCAGACCAACAAGATTGACGTTATGGAGTGGCCAGCCCAATCCCCGGATCTTAATCCAATAGAAAACTTGTGGGGTGACATCAAAAATGCCGTTTCTGAGGCAAAACCAAGAAATAGAGAAGAACTGTGGAATGTAGTCCAATCATCCTGGGCTGGAATACCTGATCACAGGGGACAGAAGTTGGGTGACTCCATACAACACAGATGTACAGCAGTTCTCAGAAACAGTGCGACTACAACCAAATATTCATTAAGTGATTCAAAGGAAAGCAAAATCTTCAAACATTTTTCAGTTTATATAGTGAATGTTTGAGTTTGTAAAGAAGAATACAAACACTGCGATTTTTTTTGAACCGTCTAATATTCACTTTTCTTCAATTTTTTTTTTAGAGAAACACAAATTTGATCTATTTTTCTTCATGTTTTGATTTGGAATAGAATGTGTAGTGTTCCCAATGCATTTGTGGTATGGAAATAAAAGCTCTTAGAAGGATTTTGAGCTTTATTCACTTTTTTCAACACACTGCTAGCATTGTGAACACAACTGTATGTACCAAAGGAGAAAGCCAGGGGAAAGTATCCAACATCCCCCCCCAACAGAGTTTTATCCAGGAGTTCAGGGAAGAGGGGCACCATGGATAACAGAGATAATGGAGGTTCAAGGTCCACGTAAATGCTCTTGCATTTGTTTGAGTGAGAAAGAGATTTTTTTTCTGTTTCATCTCCTGGAAAGGATATGAAGAGAATCCTCCATTGAAATACAGCACAAAAAAAACCCCCCCAAAAAAACCCAAACAGCGTTGAGATGCACTTTAAGGCCAATTCTATCCCCATGTCCCTCTGTGTTCTTTCACTGTTTCCATGGCAATGCAGCAAGGGGCCGCCGTGCAGAAGAGGAGTTCAATACCTTCTTCCCAAAATAATCTAGAACCTTCAAATGTGACAAGGGCAGTGCTCACCGTCCTTACCCACGTCCCTCACAGCTCATTACCCCAAACATAACAGAGGCTCTTTAATATGCCAGTACAGGCAAACTCATGATTGGCAAATTATTGACAAATTATTTGAAACTGAATAAATTGCAAAAAAGCGATTGTAATATGTATAATGATCAGTTATTCTGCATTTATTTGAATATTGCAGTGAAGCTGAACTATTTGGAAGGAAGACTGGCGGATGTGGCTTTCAGTATGGCAAAGTTGCCTTCTATATTCAAAGGGGATATTAATCAAGAAAATTAGTGATGGGATTAGTCACAAATCAGGCTGCATCTCCTCTGTAACCCTCGGTTCTCACCTATGTGTTTTCTGCAGTGTCTTGCAGAAACACAGTACAGTCCATTTAACATGATTTCCTATGGGACATGTTCACATCTGCGAGTTTTCACCCAGTGCCTTTTTTGGAAAGGGTCAGGGACTTTCTTGAACGCAAAAAGTTGCGTTTTTGGTTCTACAGACTTCAATGGAAATTCAGTAGAAAAGCATGTATTGCATTTTTGCTGTGTTTTAAATCTGCCTAGTAACAAGAAAAAAACAAAAAACAAAAACACCCCGCAAAACGCATAAAAAAATGCGGCAAAAACATGTTAAAAACTCAACGCAATGCAGAAATGGCTCAAACGCAATCTGCATAGGTGTGAACTTAGCCTATTAGATTTACAGACCTGTGTGTTTGAATTCCTCAGCAGCTGAGTGCAACAGTTTTCAAAGTTCAAAGAGATTTTCACTGTAAACAGCTGTACAATTAAGGAATGGTCAGGGACAGGTTTCATTTAGCAAAAGAAAAAAAAAAAGGCTGCATCTCCTCTGTAACCCTCGGTTCTCACCTAAGTGTTTTCTGCAGTGTCTTGCAGAAACACAGTACAGTCCATTTAACATGATTTCCTATGGAACATGTTCACATCTGCGAGTTTTCACCTGGTGCGTTTTTTTTGGAAAGGGTCAGAGACTTTCTTGAACGCAAAAAGTTGCGTTTTTGGTTCTACAGACTTCAATGGAAATGCAGTAGAAAAGCATGTATTGCGTTTTTGATGTGTTTTAAATCTGCCGAGCAACAAGAAAAAACCCCCCAAAAAAACTGCAAAATGCATAAAAAATGCAGTAAAAACATGTCAAAAACTCAACGCAATGCAGAAATGGCTCTTCCCCACTGATCACCAATGTAAAAGGGGGCATTCTTCCCACATGGCTCAAACACAATCTGCATAGGTGTGAACTTAGCCTATTAGATTTACAGACCTGTGTGTTTGTATTCCTCAGCAGCTGAGTGCAACAGTTTTCAAAGTTCAAAGAGATTTCCACTGTAAACAGCTGCACAATTAGTGCAATTAGCTACCACCTCCCCCTCACTCCCCCTCTCTGTTGGGGTCCCTCAAGGCTTTGTCCTCGGGCCCCTTCTCTTCTCCATCTACACCTCCTCCCTTGGCCAACTCATACACTCTCACGGCTTCAACTACCACCTCTATGCCGAGGACACACAAATCTATCTCTCAACCCCCCACCTCACCCTCTCGGTCTCTGCCCGAATCACACACCTACTGAGCGACATATCAGACTGGATGTCGCTCCACTTCCTTAAACTGAACCTCTCCAAAACCAAGTTTCTTGTCTCCCCCCCCCCCCCCCCCCCAGCCCGGACACCACCCCCCACTGACTTCTCCATCACATCCAACAATGCCACCATCAAACCCGCCCCGCAGGCCAGAGTACTTGGGGCTGGAAGGATAGATTGGAGTCCAGAATGACACCAAGTCCAATCTTTAACAAACTCATGCAGACTCCACGTCCGCAACATCGCCAAAATCCGCACGTTCCTAACCCCAGAAACCACTAAACAGCTCATCCACTCCCTCATCATATCACGACTCGACTACTGCAACTCCCTCCTCACTGGCCTGCCTCGCCGCTGGCTATCCCCGCTTCAGTCGATCCTGAATACGGCTGCCAGACTCATTCACCTTTCCAACCGCTCCGTTTACACCACCCCCCTCTGCCAATCCCTCCACTGGCTTCCGATTGCGCAACGGATCAAATTCAAAATCCTAACGCTGACGTACAAAGCTGTCCACCATACTGCCCCGAACTACATCACTGACCTAATATCCAAGTACCACCCAGCACGCACACTCCGCTCCTCACAAGACGACCTTCTCTCTAGTTCCCTGGTCTCCTCCTCCCATGCCTGCTTCCAGGACATCTCCAGGGAGTCACCCATCCTCTGGAACTCCCTGCCCCAACCCATCAGATTATCACCTACTCTCCTCTCCTTTAGGCGCACCCTGAAAACCCATCTCTTCAGGGAAGCATACCCCACCCCCTGCTAACTTGCTGACCTCCTCCACTCTTCCTACCACTCCATCCCCCACAGCTATCTCCTCCTGTACCACTCCCCTCCCTCCTAGATTGTAAGCTCGAAAGAGCAGGGCCCTCAATCCCCTCATGTTTTGCATTGTATTGGTATTGTTCTGCACATGTTCTGTCCCCCTTTGTAATGTACAGCACTGAGCGAACTATTGGCGCTTTATAAATACTGTATAATAATAATAATGGTCAGGGACAGGTTTCATTTAGCAAAAAAAAAAGGCAATCACAGTAACCCTGTGACAGGGGCAGACTGACAACTCATGGGGCCCCCGGGCAATAGGGGATCATGGGGCCCCCGTGTCCTTGCCCACACCCAAAAAAAGTCTATAAAAAAAAAAAAACAATGAAAGGTACCAGGGGCATCTCATGGGGCCCCCTACTGACCCCGGGCCCTCGGGCAGTGCCTGAGTGCTCGAATGGTCAGTCCGCCCTTGCCCTGTGATAAATCAGTTAAGACAATCCAAGGAGAAGAATGACATCACTCCAGACGCTAGACAAACCTTGCTCTCCACAGAAATGCCGGACGCGAGCCAAAGAGCCTGTTCTCGCTCAGAATCAAACATGCACCAGAAAATGAAAGCAGAGGACGAAAGCTAGATTTGGACTGGTGTCACAATGTGATGAAAAATAATGATATTACTTTCCAAAGGAAACCTCATATTAGGCAACCACATGAATTGTGCCGGGGTAAAAACAGCATTTGAAGCAGAATGTCACTATCTCAGCCAACAATGGCTATTTTTAATCCTCATTCCGATAGGATCATACTTGTTTTAAACTTTTTTTTTTAATTTCTTCAGTTGCTTCCTGGTTTCCAGGCTTAGGAAAGTGATGCCATACATATCAAGAATCTTTAGCAGGGGCTTTCTAGCTAAGCACACCCTCCGGCCTGCATGCCTGAGCTAAGGGCAGATGGATTCCAGGAAGTAAATGCTACATGAATTATCTACCTTTACTCAAGATGACCACAGTCAGAAATGCTGGGGGGGGGGGGGGGGTTTTTTTATAAGTGTTTCTCAACAAAATAAAGACTGGAGAAATGAATGGATGGGAGTTTGCTTTGAATATTAAAAATAAATTAAATAAATTTGGTTTGTGGTGTGTAGTTCACTTTAAGTAAATTCAACATCTACAGACAATTACCTTCACGTTGGCCTTCTGTAAACTTATCCTTGATTGGAACAAACTAAGTTTGGATCTGTGAAGAGAAAAAAAAATATTGTGAAAAGTTGAGGATACAAAGTGCGAAGTCATGGATCAAAGAGAAAAGATCACAGAAGACACACCAGACTCACCTACAGCCAATCTGATAAAACAGAGATACTAAAGAAACATACTTTGGGTACAAAACTAAATCCCCCGGATATTTCACAGCAGATAAAATGTTTCTGTAACTTTTATTTATTTATTTTTTCAATAAAATAGGAAAGGGTTCTTCGTATTACAGACATTTATATCGTACTAACAATTCGCACAGTGCTTGTACATTCACATCAGTCCCTGCTTACAATCGCAGGAAGGTCCCTATCTCACATCCATGCATACCCCTAGACACATATACTAGGGCCAATTTAGACAGAAGCCACTGACCACCCCAGTGAAAAAAAAGGGTTTCTCGCCACTGACCACCTCAGTGTAAAGAGAGGCCTTCTCGCCACTGACCACCCCAGTGTAAAAAGAGGCCTTCTCACCACTGACCACCCCAGTGTAAAAAGAGGCCTTCTCGCCACTGACCACCCCAGTGTAAAAAGAGGCCTTCTCGCCACTGACCACCCCAGTGTAAAGAGAGGCCTTCTCGCCACTGACCACCCCAGTGTAAAGAGAGGCATTCTCGCCACTGACCACCCCAGTGTAAAAAGAGGCCTTCTCGCCACTGACCACCCCAGTGTAAAAAGAGGCCTTCTCGCCACTGACCACCCCAGTGTAAAGAGAGGCCTTCTCGCCACTGACCTCCCCAGTGTAAAGAGAGGCTTTCTTCCGACTGACCACCCCAGTGTAAAAGGGGCATTCTCGCCACTGACCAACCCAGTGTAAAAAGAGGCCTTCTCACCACTGACCACCCCAGTGTAAAAAGAGGCCTTCTCGCCACTGACCACCCCAGTGTAAAAAGAGGCCTTCTCGCCACTGACCACCCCAGTGTAAAAAGAGGCCTTCTCGCCACTGACCACCCCAGTGTAAAGAGAGGCATTCTCGCCACTGACCACCCCAGTGTAAAAAGAGGCCTTCTCGCCACTGACCACCCCAGTGTAAAAAGAGGCCTTCTCGCCACTGACCACCCCAGTGTAAAGAGAGGCCTTCTCGCCACTGACCTCCCCAGTGTAAAGAGAGGCTTTCTTCCGACTGACCACCCCAGTGTAAAAGGGGCATTCTCGCCACTGACCAACCCAGTGTAAAAGGGGCATTCTCGCCACTGACCAACCCAGTGTAAAAGGGGCTTTCTTGCCACTGACCACCCCAGTGTAAAAGGGGCATTCTTCCCACTGACCACCAATGTAAAAGCGGCATTCTTCCCACTGACCACCAATGTAAAAGGGGCATTCTTCCCACTGACCACCAATGTAAAAGGGGCATTCTTCCCACTGACCACCAATGTAAAGGAGGCATTCTTCCCACTGACCACCCCAATGTAGCAGGGGCATTTTTTCCACTGACCACTCCAATGTAGAAGGGGCATTCTTCCCACTTACCACCCCAATGTAAAGGAGGCATTCTTCCCACTGGACACCAATGTAAAGGGGCATTCTTTCCACTGATCTTTAATGTAAAAGGGACATCCTTCCCACTGACTACCGATGCAAAGGAGGCATTCTTCCCACTGACCGCCCCAATGTAAAAGGGGCATTCTTCACATTGACCGCCCCAATGTAAAAGGGGCATTCTTCCCATTGACCACCCCAATGTAAAAGGGGCATTCTTCTCATTGACCACCCCAATGTAAAGGAGGCATTCTTCCCATTGACCACCCCAATGTAAAGGAGGCATTCTTCCCACTGGACACCAATGAAAAGGGGCATTCTTTCCACTGATCACCAATGTAAAGGGGCATTCTTCCCACTGATCCCCAATGTAAAGGAGGCATTCTTCCCACTGGACACCAATGTAAAGGGGCATTCTTCCCACTGATCCCCAATGTAAAGGAGGCATTCTTCCCACTGGACACCAATGTAAAGGGGCATTCTTCCCACTGATCACCAATGTAAAAGGGGGCATTCTTCCCACTAATCACCAATGTAAGGGAGGGATTCCTCCCACCCATTTGTTCGACAGGGGTTACCTGAAAAGTATTTTAGGAGTTCCTCTGAGGTAAAAAGGTTGAGAAAGGATGCTCAAGACGGAGAATAGATTAGCCGTTATAATCCTGCTGTCTTTCTGCTCAACAACTGCTGAGATAACCACAGAGGGTGTGCATTGTTTTTAATGGGTCTGTCCATCTATACTGTGAAAAGGAACAGTAAAGTACCACCACTGCATATTATTATACAGTATTTATATAGTGCCAAAGGGTTTGCTCAGTGCTACGCAGAAAGCACAGCCTAAGGAGCAAATATGGATGCCACTATGTGCCTACAACTTATCCATTCAAACAACATATTTTGAAGGCATTCACATAGTAAGAACCATGCCAAGCTGATCTCTTTTACAAGTACTAATAAAGCTTTGGACAGACTATGCACTCCTTTTCCCTTTATTGTTAGCTTGACAGATATTAAACTCCCAAAAAACATATTACGGTTTCCTCCTGCATAGGCGTTTGGAATGTCCCCGGCACAATGCATACTTAGGAGCAGATACAACAGAATAAGGAGCCCCTACATTTTTATTCAGCAAATCCCTCGATTAGCCAATATTCCGTAATACAAGTCTCCATCTCCGGAACACATTCTATTTCCACAGCAGATGCCTTGCCAGTGTAACCAGAACGCACATGGCCAAATCTGAGATAATCCCGAGTCCTTTCACACAAGAGTTGCTAATCCAGCGTGGGTTCACCCAGAGAGCATACTGACAGCAAATCTGTGCTTGGAGAATTATGTCAGCTGACATTGCTGCTTTCTCATAATGCTAGTTGCCTGGCTGTCATGTTGATCTAGTAGCCTCAATACAAGAAATCCAGGAGTTCTGGACTTCAATATTTTTCACAGAATACGGAAGTCAGAGACCAGGAGTTCTGGACTTCAATATTTTTCACAGAATACGGAAGTCAGAGACAGACTAATTTTTAGACGCTGACCTTCAATGACAACCACATATATCTTTGTTTTGGTTCCCTTTAAGGCCATCTACTTATGGTATTAATGGGTGGGATACTGCAACACATGCAAGTGCACCTTTCATGCAGCACAAAGGCAAAGCACGTGCATTGCTGCATACCCAACTGGTGGGCCATTTTGGTGTATTGGTAGCCCAGTGGTTTAAAGTGGTGCTCCACCCAAAAGGGGAAGTTCCACTTTAAGGACTGCTCCTCATTAAGGATTAGCACCTTAGGGGATCGGGTACCCGATTTTGATAGGTACCCGCTCCCACGTCCGGTCTGATCACCTAGGCAATCGGAAGCAGAAGGTGTTCTCCCTCCCTGTAGTCTTTTGGGACACGTGACAGGTCCCAGAAGACTACAGGACCTTTCATGAAGCGCAGCGCTACTCGCGCATGTGCAGTGGGTACCCGGTTGTGAAGCTGCAACTATTACAGCCGGGTGCCCACACTGAAGATGCCAGCCTCGGGGAATACAGGGGACACACTACGGGACCGAGGGACAGGTAAGTGGCTGTTTTTTTAAAAGTTTTTGTAGCTGCTGACTTTTATTTTTTGATAGGTTGAGTGGAACTCCACTTTAAAGTGTCTGTAAACCTCAGACATAATTTCTATTGAGTTTACTTGCCCCTCTTCAAAGCACTAAGTGTCATTCCTCTCCGCTTTCTAGTTCCTCTCCCATCAGCATGAGTTACTTCTGATAAGTTTTCCTAACACTGAAAGCTAAAAAGGTGACAGGGGAGGGATCTCCAGCACACAGCCTGTGATTGACAGCCACAGCTCTGTTTCAATATGCTGTGAGAAGGGGGGAGATTATCCCTTTCTTCCAATCAGCTTTCAGAGCTCTTGTACAGTGTGTAATTGCAGCACCCCCCTCCCCCGGCTTTGTGAGTCTGTGAAAAATTATTTTCATCTCTGAGTTTTACAAAGAAATAAATGACAAACAGCTGCAAACAAACAGGTACAACTTATGAAAGAGGATTTGTTCCACCTGTGTGTATCACCTGAGGCCAGCCACTTCACTTGTTACAGGTAACATTTAAAGCAGAGTTCCACCCATTTTTTAAAGTGCATCTCTGTACATTGTACCTGTGTTGTAAAGCACGATTTGGATAATTTTTTTTTTCATATTATAAATACCTTTAAATCCACTTTTAGGACTGCAGTTCCAGTCCCGGCCGCCTAGGCGGCGTTCTAAGGTGAATCGCAAGCTCTCCTGGGATGTCATGTCTTGTATCCCAGAGTCCTTTGGGTTCCTGGTGACTTAAGATTGCAGTACTTCGAAACTGGAAATCATGTGAATGGGAGGAGTTTGGCGCCATTTTAACGAAGGCCTGTTTGTGGAAGACTTGTACGCTGTGTGCTGCGGACTGCGCTGTTCTGTTAGCTGGATTTGCACAGTGTGTCAGTACTGCGCAGGAGCGTGATCGAGTGGTGCATGCTGGGATAGCCAGCAGCACCAATTCCAGGAAGGAAAGACCTGCGGGCTTCAGATGCCCACAGCCATCATGGCGCCTACCTGCTTCCGAGATCCAGGTAAAGTTTAATGTATTTGAAAGTAATTACAAGGCTATAACTAATAACTTTATCCAACTGATAATGCGCACGGAAAGGAAATCCTGGGTCTGCTTTTAACCATTTCAATACCGGGCACTTTTCCCCTTCCTGCCCAGGCCAGTTTTCAGCGCTCTCACACTTTGAATGACAATTGCGCGGTCATACAACATTGTACACAAACTAAAATTTTATCATTTTCTTCACACAATTAGAGCTTTCTTTTGGTGGTATTTAATCACCGCTGAGGTTTTTATTTTTTGCTAAATTAACAAAAAAAGACCGAAAATTTTGAAAAAAAAAAAGTTTTTCTTTGTTTCTGTTATAAACGTTTGCAAATAAATGTTCTTCATAAATTTAGGCCGAGATGTATTCTGCTACATGTCTTTGGTG